TATTATTACTAGACAGAGATTTAGAAAAAAATTAGTACATTCACGGTTTTAACAGAATTGTATGATTACATATTTTGTTCATTTTTTTTACAGACATAGACACAATCATATTGAAACTATATATGGATAGATGGTAAGTCATTAAATAATGATTTTCATTTGTCTTACATGATGCTTCACAATATGAGGATTATATATTTCAATGTGTCATATAGTTTTTGAACAACATAAAACAATACAATATAAAATAACAGTTACTTTAAAGTCAGGAATACCACATGGCAAATACACAAATGTGCCACTGAAAAATAGTCAAAGTATGAGATGTGATATCTTTCATTCTAAACAATAAGCCGCTTTGAAGAAAGGACTATAGGACAAGAAGGGGAGGTAGTTTACTTTGACAAATTCAATAGCGTTTCATCAGGAATTTTATAAAACAAATTATTTGTCAGAGATATCTCTGCCATGTAGTTTTTCAATTTCATGCAGTATAACAAAAGATTTTTTTTCCCTTGAGACTTACAAAACTTGGAAAAACTTAGACTATATTTTGAAGTTTATCCAGGTGAAGCATAATTTGACCACAAATGATTAGAGGTTATTTTTGATATTACTACTTCAGTAACCAAAGTTTTGAGGGTAAATTTTTTTTTCTTTTTAATCAGAAACAAGTACAAATGAAGTAATAGACTAAGACTGTCTAAGGGTCTCTCTTATTGAACATAACCATATAAGCAGGATATATTTTTCCACTTTATATGTCTCAATTCTTCCTGACTTGAAATCAGAGCATAAATCTAAGGATGTGGACAACACAGTTGTGGACAAGCGATGTTGTGAGTTACGTGAATCGCTTAGCTGTAAACTCAAAACCCTAAATAGATCATAGATTCACCATATCCAATAGAATTGGGATTTAGCAGGCTTCTCTTGGCATTTTGTAAAATCCTAAAATACCCAAACTTATGAAAATGTCCTACTTTCTATCTTTCTATCTTTTATTTTCATTGAAAGAGATATCATGAGGGTCTCAGACCAAAAATCGCCCTCCTGAAAAACACAAGTCTGAGGAGAGAGCTCCTATTTGATTTGCAGATGGCATACGTACTAATTATGGAACACATCCAGGCCATACTTATAAATAGAACTGGTTAGATCATAAGCTCTCAAGCAATAATTCTGCATTTATAAGTTTTTAAGACTTCCAAGATGAATTCCTCAATGTTGCCTTGGACTTATTAATGGCCTTTGAATTAGTTAAGCACTTAATGAATTGAGCTAGAATCACTAAGCATGTAAATCTCTAAATGAGGTAACTTGTGACCCTCGAACTGAGCCTTATATCTGTGTGGCTGATTTAACGTTTGACTCAGTCTTTTGTAGGGCCGCAATCATTGTTTAGGAATAATTTAGTTTCTTGCAGTTCCTATGTTGCTATGGAAAATAATTAATTCTTAGGAAAAATATAGACCCTGGAGCAAGAGAATAAACAGCCTGTAAGTATAGACAGCTAAGGAGAAGAGAAGAAGCAAGGATGTTAAACCAAATCAACCTGACTTGGAGGAATGGATCTCTGTTTTTCTCTCAAGTAAAGTACAGCCACATGGTTCCCTTCAGGTTAAGGGTACATCAGCAACGCTTTCCTGACTACACTTGGGCCTTTGACCAGAAATCCTGGATTTTACTAAGATCATGAGAATCAAAGACGGTTAGAGCCGTAAGAGGTCTTAGAAACATTTCAGGCAAACACACTTATTTCACAGGTGAGGAAACCAGTGACTAGAATTTAAAGGACTTGCATTAAGTCACATAGCCTGTTTAGTGGCAGCAATGTGACCTGGACCTGGAAACTGAGTTCTCAGCCCACTCACTACCCTAGCAATGACGCTATTGTGCTTGAGCTGGAAAGTCAGAAAAAGAAATTTGTTCACCGAAGTACACATGAAATTTTTATCAATGGCAAATCTATGTTTGCAACACTGGGATGGTAATCCAGAGTCATTTACATTTTTCTGTATGCATGCAAAGTTCCATTGTGTGTGCATTGTCCTTTTTAGACCGAGGCTTGCAATTCAAAGCCATTCAAAAGTGCATCAGTATTTTTTTTTTAATTGAGAATATGGAATTTCTGGAGTGGCTGGCTGATCCCAAAATCCTAGCCAGAGTCAATTCCTTATCAGACAAAGGAAGTTATACTATTCACGTTAGCTCTGTGGTAATTCATTCAAACAATAAATGTAAAAGTCTGCTGCATAATTGGCTTAGACCATTTCATCATCCCCTTTCTGGCTTCTCTATTTATTTACATTAAAAAAGTAAAATTTACTTCCCAATCAATACATTTTCTTATAAAAAAGAAAAACTTTTTTTTTTTAATATGAAAGTAAAGAAAGGCACTTTGTAAAATGTGTACAAATCTGTTTCTTTCTTGTCTACTCTAAGGAGATAGGAAAGTCACCAAATGCAAGGCCAAGTCTTTCTGCAAATAATGGACATCAGTAGGCAGCTTCCAGAGAGAGCCAGATTTCCTCCACAGCCTCAGGATGCTCATTAACTCATAGGATTCTCTGATTCAGTTGGGTCACTATAAGACAAGGAGCCAAACACCTTGATTTTGTACACGTGCTAAGGGATTGACCCACTTAGGACCAAACCAGCGAAAGCAAGTTTTTAGTATATAACCACCTACCGGGATGGGCCTTAGGCACTTAGGAGAATGAAGAATGTAAGTGTGTTAAATGTCAATGACTGCCTGATGGTGACTTGTGCTCATTTGTAAAAAGTGACACAATATTTTTCAGTTTGGGTCATGAGCTTCCATAAACCATCCATTGACCAGCCCATTTCCATGTGATTTGTAACTTGAATATTTAGGTGTTTGTTTATGAAAATATGACTTTTTGTAATTCAGAACATAAGACTATTTAAACCATCTATGTAGTGTTGGTTCATAATCCAGGAGAGAGAAAAAAATACCAGAATCGACAGCCAAATATAAGAAAAAAATTAGGGGCTATTGGGCTCAGTAGGGACTAAGCATGTCTCGGTCCAGTAAAAGACTATTTTTCTAAAAATTAGAGCCATATTCAATACATCTTTTTTTTAAAAAAAAATATTTCATGCTTCTTCCCTCTACTCAGACTATAATTCTATACCTATAATTCTGGAAGCCCGGGCAATGTGTTCTCTTTCAAACCTCAGGCTACCTCTGAGTCTAGTTCCTATCAACATGGGCTTATTGGGGTAGGATATTTAACCCATAGAGGTGAGCTCCAATTCTCTATGTCCAGCTAGTGCGCAGACGTAGAGAATGGGTCGCAAACAGGTGAAATGAAAAACAGAGGGAGGCAGTTGGATGAGTCCTAGATGCTCTCTTTAAAACAGAGATCCAGGCTTTTGACTGCTCCTTGGAACTGACTTTGAGAGTCTCACTAGCACACCCCGGCCTTTGTAGCTGTTCCCACCACTCCACAGACGCTAGTTTCTTAGAACTTTCATTTGGACACTGCTGACGTGAGTGCTGTCTCCGCCTCTGCCAAGATTTTGCACATGGATCTACTCCAGAGAGATACTAACTCCTGGCTTTGCTTAAAATCTCTTTGCTGCCCAAGATTGCTCAGAAAAACAAAGCAAAACAAAAACCCTTTCTGTAAAACAGTGTGTTAGATGTTACCACTCCCCTTCTTTATGGTGGCTTCATGAATATTTACCCAGAGAAGAGCAGCAGCCCCAGAGTAGCCCTGAACTACAGGAGAAGTAATTTCTGGTCTGCGGAGAGCCCTGTAACTTTAGGTTGGAGGTTGCTGGACATAAAAGAATCAGATAAACTATACTACATTGTGTTTGAAATTGAATATTGTCATCCACTTCATATGTGTCAGTGGGCTTTGAGTTGCTATGGGATTTTACTCCACAAACAGGGACTGCATATACTACTTTGTACTGTCAATACTCATTGTAGCCTCATAGCAGAAAATACTGTACCCACTGAATACGTAAACAGCTGAACTGGGAAGATAGAAAATAGTCTTTTATATTACCTAAGTGATAGAAAAATAGTCTTCAAAAATACATTGTTAAACGTATGGGTTTGTATTAAAGTAGAATTTGTATGTACAGTAAGGCAGTATTTCCATTAGCATCCTGCTGTAATTATCTTTTAAATTAAAATTAGTCTTTTGGGATTTTTTTCACTAAGAGAAGACTAGGGTGTATAATAAATTATCCATCACGCTAAATGAAGCAGAAAAACATTTTAGAAGTATTCACCACATGAAACTAATTTGCCTCTTGTGTAAGAAAATTTCACTTTCCAAACTATATTCTCTAGAGGCTTTAGAATGAAATACAATTTAGGGGAGAAAATCCATGCTTAACGAATTCAAACTATCTTAAGAAAAAAATTGGAGGCATCATCTTTACTTGCATATCAGCAAGGTATCACTAAGGTCACAGGAAGTGATGTAAACAATTTGTTAGGTGTTCTGGAATGCATTCTTTTTAAAAAAATGTATTTCGTTAATCCCAATAAAATGAAAAAGGAGTGCAAAGTTAAGCGACTGGTTTTCAAAAGGGGTTTTCATGGCAGTTTTCGCGTATCTATCGTCTTCCTGTGGTAAACTATTTTAATTATTACATTTCCTTCTGTCACACAGCAAAACATGAAAGCCTTTTCCAGAGGCTATACCTATGGCCCTGTCCCTCAAGAATACTAAGCAATGTGCTTTTATTTCATTGAACACGTAATTTTATAACTAATAGCAAAAAGTGAATCTACAAATCACAGTTAGGAAACAAAATGATTGGTTCTGGAATCAGCTGTTGGGGAAAGAGGCAATCGGTTGAAAATGGAGCACAAAAAGGAGTGAACTGTGAGTTTTTGTAGTGTCATGCTAACCCCATTCTTGAACATTCTCTAGTAGAGCGCATTTGATGTACTCTGTAGTGTTACCTGAAGAAAAATCACATTTTAACCAATCATTTCGTTAATCAAGCTATCACTGAAAGGAGAGCTTAAGACACGCGGGATCTAGGTAATCCAGCCCACCCAGCTGGCGTCTGCAGCTGCTCGGTGTCGCGGTGCACGGGGCCAGGTCTTTCTCAGCTGGATTCTGTTGAAGGGAAGGTGGAGCCTCGATCGCCGGTTCTTCACACAAAGGCCGGTTTTGAGCGTGGGGACCTCGTGCCAACACCAGGATGTTGTTGTCCGTCAGCCCAGACACCCTGGTGTACTCCTTGCTGGATTCGGGAGCGCTGGGCTTCTCTGTGTGGCTGCTGTTCTCTTTCTGTTTTGGGAGCAATGCTAGTGCTCCATCTTTGTTGATCTTGTGAATCTCCACGTAATCCAAGAGTTTAGCAGCAATAAAGGCGGTTTTCTCCTGGGGCAGCAGCCACACGGTGTCTGGGTCAGTCTTGGAATGGAAACTTTCCACCTCTCTCTGCTCAGTCACTTTTTCCTCCCCTTCAGTCTCAGCGGTTTCTGAGGATTTTAAAGCATGCTTGTCTGTTTTGTCCAACAAAGGAGCCGATGCGCCTGCCGTGCCCATGGCCAGCTCACACCCATCACCATTGTGGTAAGAAGATTTGGGGTTGTGCTGTCTGGGGGGCTGCAGTAAAGGCCATGTTGATTTGGACTCGCTGGCATGGAAATAGGAGATTTTGCCTTCCAAGCTTGTGCTCTGGGGGTCCCAGATGCGGGTACCCTTTGTTTCAGGATTCTCTGGCTTTTCAATGCTTTCAGAGATGTGGAATGTGGAGGGATTTCCCCAGGGTTCCTCGCACTTGTCGGACAAAAGCGAAGGGCTGTCACAGCTGCCCTGGCCAGAGTCACTGTCGGGATCCAGCTGTTTGGGCTTCATGCCTTGACCTGGGAGTTCTTTTGAGTGGGCCGGCATCAGCTGCTGGTCCTCATTGTCGACGACTTCTAAAAACTCCACCAGCAAATCCTCATAGTCAGAAGAGGGAGGGAAATCTTGGCACCCCAGGGCGCTCAGTAGTTCTTCAGACTTGCCCTTCTATTAAAACACAGACACAAGGTGAGAAAGCTGTTGCTCCATAACATTCCAAAGCAGCATCACAGCCCCGCCTGTGTTCATGACAATGGGTAGGTGGGATGTGGTAACAGCCTAGCAGAATTTCCCAAACTCTAGACATTTGTGTACCAGGCCATTTATAATCACCTCCTGAACTACTTACTATACATCTAACAGTTTCCTTGAAGTCACTTCGCGATTTTAACTTAGTCTCTCTCTAAGCAATAATGATCATGAGTTTAATGGGCAAGTAGTATATGGACGGGTAATAAACATATAACTATTAAATAAGAAAAGTTTGTAAAACATCTAAAACCACACTGCTCACACATGCATTTGGCACTCGGGGACTCACTGGCTCTGAGATCTGGTTGCTGGCCTCCTAACCTCCTCTGCCACTTTCCAGAGTCTGGAAGTAATAAGTAGCTTCCCATTTCTTCCTTCGCCCCTGGGCTCCTCCTCTTCCTTCTTCTCCCTTCCTTCCTTCTCTTCTACTTTCCCCTCTCTTTCTACTTCATTTCCTTTTACTCTTCTCCCTCCTCCCTTCTCTTCCTAATATTTTCTCCCTCTCCTGCTAGTTCTCTCCCTCCTCCTCATCTCGATTCTTCTCCTTCTCTCTCTCTCTTCCTCCTGCTTTCTTCTCTTACTTTACACTCCTCTTCCTGATCCTCTGACTTAGGTCAGGTACTGGTGCCGAATTCCTGATTTTATCACGTATTAAAGAGTATTGACTTTGAAGAAGCTGCTCAATGATCCTCAGTTTCTCCGTTTGTAAAATGATACTGTTACATGGGAGGGTTCTTTTGAAGATTAGAGGTAATGTGATTGAGAAAACAAAAACATTTTATGGACACATAAAAAGCAGTTACGTTATTACTAAGTCTCTGTGCCTACAAGGTCGAATAGTTAATTTAGTTAGCTGGGATGTTCATGCTGGTTTTATAAAGGTCAGTGGGAGAGACTGGATAGCGGGGTAAGAGGACTGAACTAGGACCCCAAATTCCGGGGCGCTAGTCCCTGCTCTGATACTTGCAATCGGAGTGAATGCAGTGAAGCCAAATTCTCTGGGACTCACTTCCCACTTCCTGTGCTGTTGTTGGCCTTGCCGTGGCTGGGTCAAGTGGTACAGTGTGCAGATAATTGCTTTTATACACATCAGTATTAAGCTTAAGGTCAAATTGAAACTATATATTTCAGCCTGCAGAGAAATTAAAATGTTCTAAACCCTCTTTTCATTCAAAACACTTAAATTTCATTCCATTTGAATCAGCCTAAATGGGCCCTGGTGAACGCCAGCCCCACCGCACTGATCCAGTCTCAACCGAGTGCCCAGACAAAGTAAAACACGTGACAGGATACTCTGCTACTACGACCTTATGTAACGGACATTCAGGTGATAGAGGGGGTGGTGGTAGGTCCCTCTTTTGTATTAAATTAATATTTACACT